TCACTTTGCTTTGACAGACTTCCTTATGTAGTTTTTAAATTGCTCAAAGAGTTTTCAGGAATTTCACAATGCTCTTTTGAGGGGACCAGATACATCTGAGTTTCACAAAAACAAAGCTAGAAACTTCTGGCATAGACATGCTCTACTCAGGCATGACACCCGTAGGATGCAGCTTCTTGCTCATAACTGGACGAGTCATAAATATTTTCTTAAATGCTTAAGTGCCCGGCACTGTGCTGATGGCTTTATATGCATCATCTCATTCCTCACAACAGCCTGTGGAGTAAGTACAATCATTCGTGCTACCTAACAATAAGGAAACCCAGGCTCAGAGAGAGGCACTCGCCCAAGGTCAACAGCTGGAAGTGTGGAAGCAGAGCTCTGAATCCAGGCCCGACTCTAAAGCCCAAGCACCAACCACCAGGCTCTTCTGGCTCTAGCCCAGGGTACGCTTCTGCAGTCCAGAACCCTTGTTTACAAGCTGGAGTAACAGTGGGTAGTTCTATGTCCAGTCTGAGGTCTGGGCCCAGACCCCTCCTCTCCAGGGGCAGCCTCACAGGACCCCACCCCACCCCTTAACCAGTTGCCATTGAGTTGGCTCTGACTCATGGTGGCCCCATATGTGTCAGAGTAGAAGTGTGCTCCATAGGGTTTTCAATGGCTGATTTTTGGGAAGCAGATCCCCAGGTATTTCTTCTGAGGTACGTCTGGGTGGACTCAAACCTCCAACCTTTTGGTTAGTAGCCAAGTGCATTAATTGTGCCACCCAGGGATTCCAGCCCACCCCTTACTCCTGTGATAAGCCTTTGTTTGCAAGGCAAAGCTTCACTGACAGGAGCAGGAAGATGCTTGGCAACAACACAGCACTGGGCAGAGGAGTCCTAGTTCTAATCCTAACTCAACCACCAACCACCTGGTGACCCTGAGCAGCTCACATCCCTCTCTGGGTCTCATTCATAAACGTACATTTTATCTCGTGATACACCCACACCTGTATATAAAACTCAACTACAGTCCATGATGCAACACCTTTTCTACCACAAATCGCCCTCTTATACTTTCCATTCTAGGTTATTTCATTAAAAAAACAATAGTTTGGTCACAACCCATTAAATTGATTTCCTGGCCCACTAATGGGTTGCAATCCACAGTTCTGAGACACACTGGACTAAAAACAGTGGCTTTTAAAAATGTTTTTCTGTTCCTTTTCTTAAGCGGCAGAAACCTTTTTGGCAGGTAAAATCTTTCTTGGGGGCTCCGCAGACAGAACAGCTAGGACAGAGCCGATCTGGTTCACAGGAGTAGGCCCAGCTGCCCTGGAAGAGGGCAGCTCCCTGAGGCCCTCCT